AAAAAAAAAAAAAAAAGAATCCTGTGTTTTCCCTAACATCTGGAATCTAAAAAACTTGACAATAAAGTAGAAGGGAGGCTATTATTAGACAAGAGGAAGGAAATAAAATAGAAGGAGAAGGGGGATAGGGCAGGTAATGGATAGATGGACATGGGCAAAATATGCTATTCCTCCCAAATGTGAAACTGAGGGGAAGGCGAGGTAAGGAGGGTAATATGAATGGGGTAAAAAGTGATCAAGGTGTGCTATGTACATGTTTGAATCTGCCAAAATGAAACCTATTAATCAGCATAACTAAGTTTTAAAACAGTAAAAAGATAAAGAAAGATCAGAAAGTTTAAAAAAGTAATATGTATGATATACAAATGGCCAACTAATATATGAAAGGATGGTCAATTTTATTGTTCATTAGGAAAATGCCAATCAAAATTACAATGAGATATTGTTTCACCCCTGCAAAGATGAGAAAAAGAAAAGAAAAGACAATAGCAAACATTGGTGAGGATGTAGAGAAACTGCAACCCCAATCAGTTGTTTGGGTAAAAGGATTAGCAGTTCCTCAAAAAGTCACACATTGGGCCAGGCATTTAGCTCAGTGGTGCCGCCTACCTCACAAGCCCAGTCGAACATTGGGTCACACAGCAAGCACACTCCTCTGTGTATGTGCAAGACAGCTGGAAATGTATCTATACAAAAGCTTGCATATAACTCATTCATGGCATCGTTACTCATAACAGCTAAGAGGTGGAAACAACCCACATACCCATCAAATGAGGACTGGATGAAGAAAAAGTGACATGTTCATCCGTAATTCCACAATACAAAAGAATAGAATACAAAGACATATTGCAATGTGTGTGAAAAGGCCATGTAGTATATTATTTTTTAAATATGAAATATCCAGGAGAGGCAAATTCATAGACAGAAAGTAGATGAGAAGTTTCCAGGGATTAGCAATGGCAGAGCAACTGCTAATGAGAAAAGGGTTTCTTTTAGGAGTGATGAAAGGTTCTCAAATTAGTGATAATAGTGATAGAGTTGCAAATTGAGTCTCCAAAAACCCACAGAATTATACACTGCAGAAGGGTGAGTTTTATGGTATATGATATATCTCAACAAAGAAGTTGTTGTTTTTCAAAGAACCCATACCTCATTTCTAGAACGAGAACTAGGGGAAACAGGCATACCTCCATTCATTGTGATTTGCTTTATTGAACTTCACAGACATTGAGGGTTTTACAAATTCAAAGTTTATAACTATCATACATTGATCAAGTCTCTGAGCACAGGCACACTTTGTGTCTCTGTCACATTTTGATAAGATTTGCAATTATTTCAAACTTTTTTGGTCATTACTACATTTGCTGTGGTGATCAGTGATCTTTGCCAGTCATCCTAAGGCAACATGGTCCAGGTCCACATGCAGCGAACTTAACGGATACCTGTCTCCCAGTGTCTCTTCCTCTCCTTAGGCCTCTCTCCCCTCTGAGGAGTGGCCTGGCTTGCTGCGATCTCATCACTTGAATGATGACAAGTTGCTTCTTTTGGATGAGCAAAGAAGGTGACTTCTTGTGATGAACTCTCTTCCTGGTGAAGGTGCTGTGAACATTGTTGACTTGGCCACAGAGGATTTGGGATATTAAGTAAATTTAATTGATAAAAGCAGGGGAGATTTAACACAATCTTACGGTTTGGAAAGAAGTTCTACTTTAAATAAAGTACTTTTCAAACTTCACATGCTGCAGAAAAATCTTTCATAAAACGAGAGCTCATTGATACAGCAAACTTCATTGTTGCCTTATTTTAAGAAATGGCATAGACTGGCATGGTGGTGCATGCCCAAAATCCCAGCACTTGGGAGCCGAGGCAGGAGGATCACCATGTGTTTGAGGCCAGCTGGGCTACGTAATGAGTTTAAGACCAACCTGAATTATATAGTAAGACTTGTCTCAAAAGAAAAAAAAAAGTGAGAGAGAAAGGAATCGAAATGCCACCCAAATTTCAGCAGCCACCTCCCTGGTGAGTCAGCAGCCATCAATACCCAGATGTAGTCTTTCTAGAGACTGCAACACTGGGATCTTCTACTTAGGCACACGTAGAGCTCTGGGAACATACTTTCTGTTAAAAAGTAATTTTCCAACACAATAATCAAGTAAGTAGGTAGGGCAAAGGAAGGCAAAATAGAGCCATATGGAAACCATTCTCCCTGGCGTATAGAAGGGAAAGGGGCTCTGAGCAGAGATGGCGTGCTGGATGTCCTGGAGCACTGGGGTGAAGTCCGGACAGGATTTGCTGCCAATGAGAGGGAGGAAATTCTTCTGCAGAAGAATGTAGTCCTGGCCATAGTCCCTCAGCTGCTCTTGGGTGAGGTGGTCCAGGATGTCCTTTTCTTTCTTGATCCAGACATCATTTGTGCCTGCAAGACCTGGGACACAAGAGGTAGAAGAAGGTCAGGTGCTGGAATGGCCTGGCCATGTCAGGACAGAAGGTGCTTGTGAATCGGTCTCTGCTTGGAAGGATGAGTATTTACAAACACTTTTTAAAATATGTGCTTTATGATGGCATTTATTTTTATTTTCATTTCTAAAGTTACATACAGAAAAGGGCACACGTTTGGTTTTTAATATATAATTAGCCCATGTAACAAGCAACCAGATCAAAAGCAGCACAGAGCCAGCCTTGAGGTCACTCCTCAGCCCATTCCCCATGGTCACTGTCCTCATTAACAGGGCACATCCATTTTGTCTGGATTTTTTTTTTTTTTTTGTAGTGGGGATCAGAGACCTTGCGTTTGCGAGGTCAGTGGCAGCACCACTGAGATAAATGTCCCACCCTTGTCTGGATTTTTGTCTGGATCCATTTTGTCTGGTTCTGAATGTTGTATAAATACAATTATGTACACTTCAGCATCAGCGTCTCTGCTCAGTACTACAAGCCATCTGTATATTGTACGTCCATTTTCTTTTTTGGGGGGGTACCAGGGATTGAACTTGGGGCCTTGTGCTTTCGAGGCAGACAGTGGCACCACTGAGCTAAATCCCAGGCCCTGTATGTCCATTTTCTTTGCTGCATAGGTTTCTACTGCATAAATATGTCATAAAGTATTTATCCAATATACTGTGATGGACACTTATTGTTTTCATCTTGAGCCTCTTTTAAATACAGCTGCCACAGATATTCTAGTGCAGCTCATGTCTTTTGGTGACTGTTGAATATACATAACATATAAAATGATATCTATAGTGTAACATATATTACATGTAATATCATCTATATACTGATACAATATACCTATATACACCTTTATACACCTATACATAAATTACATAATGTATACATGATATATAATTTATTAAACACAGAAGTATTACTTATAAAGTACTTATATTTAAGATTGAATATATAACTTAAAATATCTACAGAATAATGTAGTCTTAATTTTAATATATATTAGATGTGATTTTAATATGATTCTATTTTAATATATAAATTATATGATTAAATATGAATATATTTTAATATGGTAGCAATGCCTGATTAAGATATAGCAGCAATGCCTACTCATTACATAAACTTTATCACAAAGTGAGTAAGTTCTACATATTCCTTACATTAAACTCCTGATTCCCTCTTTGTTCATAATGTATATATATGAAAGGACTCATTTCATTTTATTTTACCAGGAAAGAATGAAAATGAAAAGGATCAGACTGTATGTACTGTCTAGGAATTTACTTTGTTCCCCCCTTGGTAATAAAACAGCCCTCACTCCTGGTCAGTGGCCATAGACTTCAACCACGAAAGACCAATGGTTATGGATTTAAACCAAAGCAGTGGAAGCTGCTGGGAAAGTCAGTTCACACGGGGGATTCCAGCCATTTCTAGATTCCATTGCTGCAGGTGATGCTGCAGTGCACAGACTTGCACAATCTGTCCATTTATGCCTAGGCTTTATTTCTGTGGACCCGAGTCCCCACAGTGCACATGTTTTTAAGAACTCCAGTTACACTAAAAGGCCACAGCCACCCACATTCCCTCTGCAGAGAATGTGATTGCTGTGGGGATGGCTGCAGGGATGAGCCTTTGTTTGCCAGCTCAGGTGGCTCCCAGATACCAGGACTATGGGGGAGCCTGCTTAGGAAATGTAAGCCACCAAAATGCATTTCTGCTCATGGAAATGGAAATGAGGTCTCAATGGCGCGTTCCTTTTCATAAAGGCTCAACACTGTACCTAAAGAAATGATTACCCCGGCAGTTTCTCTGGAGGTTGTGAGTCTTTGAATTACTCTCCTTCCTGTACCTCTCCCCAAGTTTCTGCCTTCACAGGCTAGGAGATCCCTTTACCTCTCTACTTCTGTTAACTACCGTGTGTCGTTTTGGGGCAACTCACCCATGCTCCACCACTTTGGGGCAACACCCAACGAAGTTGCTAACGTGACCTGGCCTACTAAAACTTTTAAGTGAAGAAGAGGTGGAAGTATAAATTGGAATGATACTTTGGTATTATCAGGACAAACTGAAGATAGGTGAAGTCTATGATCTGGGATGTGTCATAGGAGAATTCGTAGGCACAAAACCAACAGCACACACTCTCGAATGTCCATACCTGCACTATCTGTAAGTATCCCAAATTAGAAATGACCTAAATATTCCATCAACAGTAGAAAAATTATGGCATATTCATAGAGAACCACACAGCAACAATAATGAATAAACCATAGCTACATACAACATGGATGAATTATAAAGTTGCAATGCTAATCACAAGAAGCTAGACACCAAAGGACACACATATATTGATTCCATTTAAAGTTGGAAAACCAGTAAAGCCAAACCCTATTGTTTAGGGATGCATAAGTAGATGTAAACCTGCAAAGAAAAGCAAATTAATAATCATTACAAGACACATGAGAGTGGCTACTATAGGGGCAGGAAAAAGGGTTTTTGATGGAAAAAGATCATATGGGGGCAGCATCTGGGTGCGATGTTTTATTTTTTGATCTGGGTATTAAGTATATGAATGCATCATAAGTGGTTAAAGTATGTTTGTGTGTCATGATTATATATATATAATATATAATTTACAGTTATCCATTTAACTAAGTCAACTTCACCAGCAATGTATGGCAAGTGAGTAGCCCAGAGCCTAATAAGAGCAGCTCCCCTGAAATGTTATCTGCAGCAATTACGCTGACTTCTAGAAGTAGAACTTAACAGCAGGGTTGCTCTCTTGTTCAAATGGAGTCTTATGGTTGTGCATTGAAATTTTTCTTTGGGCTATGCACCAAACTCTCAATCTGCCTGCCAGTTTCCAAAATCGAGTTTATCATTTTCCTCTTCCACCAGCTCCCAGCTGTTTTTCCTCTCTTTAATACCCTTTTCTATTCCAGTCCTGCCATCTGCCACTCTTCCTTGCGTCTGTGACCCACTCCCTTCTTGATCGAGTCCCCTCAGTTCTCCTCCATCCATGACAGTCACCAGGTTGAAAACACCTTCTCTCTATTTCTACTGCTGGTGCTGCTTCTAAACCTGGGTGGTCACTGTCCCTTTTCTTTAGCCTCCCTCTCTCGATAACCCTCTCACTGTATCTTGAGCATCCTCCACTACTCTATGAGGTTCCCAGCTGCCAAGAGCTTTAAACCAAAAGTTCAGTATTTTCTTTAGATTTTATCTTGTGCATTTGGGCTAACATAGAAACCTTTAAAGTTTATTCTTTAGTCTGTGGGCAATATCTCCGAGTTCGTGGTCTTTCATTAGACATGCTTTAGTCATTAAAATTACCAATTAAATGTGTCACGAACCAGAATAAAGAACGTAGCCTTAGAGTGCTCTGCCTTTGCCCAAAGTTCAGATTTCAGGAGAGGAAGAGCCAAAGCTGGCTATCTCCTACAGTGAGGGAAGATGGGCCAGGTCGTTCAGAAGGAAGGAGAGAAATAATGTCTTCAAAATACAAAGAACCCAGAACAAAACCCATCTTGGTCGGTGGGAGACTAATAAATGTTACCCAACATTATCAGGTTAGACTTTTTACATAAAAATAACTTTAAATCAGCAAAGTGATATAAAGCTCATAGGTTATATATTGGAAGAGAAGTTTAAGAGGCACAGCAAAACTGATCAAATTCCTTGAAAGCTAGGTGTTGTAGCACATGCTATAATCCTAGGTGAGCCAGCAAGGCTGAATCAAGAAAAAAATCAAGGCTCTCAAGGCCAGGCTGGGCAACTTAGTGAAACCCTGTCTCAAAATAAAACAAGATTAAAAGGGCAGAGGACATAGTTCAGTGGCAGAATGCCCTTGGGTTGTTTCCCCACTATATATATATATAT